TCTATAATGTGCTGCTTTGTAGCCACCGAACACCCTCTGACAGAAGGAACACCTTCACTTACCAAGGCAGTTCCTTCTTATTGGACATTTAGGTTGTTTCCAACGTTCACCAACTATAAACAGCGCTGAGGTGCTTTCAATATCTGATAATTATTCAGAATAGAATGCAATCTCGAGCTTTCGAGTATTTCTATTAATTTTGTAACTAAGGAACTTGATATCTTTGCCTAAGACCACTAACCATCCGTATTTCCCTTTACATTACTTGTATCATCGTGGCTTTGCTACAGCTTGTTTTTCTGACATTACGGACCTGTGTTTGAAAGCCCTTGAGAACCAAATGTGCAATAGACACTTCCCCACAGATGCAAACTGTGCAAGGACGGGGCCGCCTGGGATGCGCAGAACAAGGAAACCATTCTCATAACCACCACCAGGGGTCACTCTGCCTGCACTGCCAGGACAGAGAGGCTCGAAGAGGAGCGTCAGCATTCCCAATGCTACTGTCACCAGGAGCAGGATCTCTGATCTGGGACAGCATGACACTGACATTTCTAAGTGTGTGACTTTCCATCTCCCTGCACAAGCCTCCGCAACCCCCGGGCTGTCCCCTGCTACAGATCAAGTCTCCAGTGTCTGCACCTGTGTCTGTCTCCCCTATAAGCTTTCAAAGAGCAGGGTCAGCTTTCCAGCCCCGGTGCCGGCACAGTGCCTGGGACATGGCCGGTACTCAGGATGCACTCACTAAAAAGCAGACACATTTGCAGGCAGGCCTTTCTTGTCTTGCAAACCACAGTCCTTTTAAATTTCCTTTCACCCACGCTCTGAGCAGAAACCCCCTCCCCAAACACCTCCCCAGGTCAGGGTTTGTCCTTGCTATGGTCTGTTCCTTCAGGGACCTGGGTCCCAAGTGATGTGTTCTGGAAGTGTGAGATCCCAGGCAACTCATGTGTCTCCTCTGGACTGTGGGGTCAGGCAAGTGTGAGATCCCAGGCAACTCATGTGTCTCCTCTGGACTGTGGGGTCAGGTACAAGGACGCAGATACTATCTGGCTACCTCCCAGAGCTGATGAGATCCTGTTTGGAGAAGTGTTTGTAAACATAAAGCGAGTAAAACCTCTTCCCATGAAGACTAGCACCAGCCTAATGCATACCTCCTTGCCCAGAGCACATCAAACGTAACCAGTGGGCTGCCGGGGGCGGGGGGGGGGGGTGCTCCCTGATGATCTGTAATGGTTTTCTATCTGATACACATTTCCCTGGGGCTAGACACTGCTCCAGGTTTCCCAGTTTCTATGCCTCCCTCTAGCACTGCCACTGTGAAGCAGTCCCTTTGCTGGAAGTTTCCATTTGCCATAGGCAGTGGAGCGAATATCTTCCCAGGTCACTTACCCCCTGAGCCACTAGTTCACCAAGACCCTCCCAGTTGTGACCAAAACCTGGGGTTCAAGGCTATCTTAAACAAGGAGGAAAACACTTGCCAGGCCCCACACAGTGAGAATGAGGACTTCCAGCGGTGGGTCATGCCACTACAAGGACACAAGGAAGGAACGAACTGGGAAGATTGGGAAAGTCTTAGAGGAAGCAGCATTCCCATTGAATGGAGAGAGAGCAGCAGAGTTTACTGAGCAGCCGAGAGGAGCAGGTTGAAGCTTCTAGACACAGGGAAGGCTGCAAGACCGAAGAGCCTGGATTCATCAGGGTCCTGAGGAAGCTCAGTGTGGCCAAGGCAGGGTGGTGGGAAGGAGCAGGCCATGAGCGTGAAGGAGGAGGCCAGCCTAGAGCACCAGGGGCCTTGAATGCCACAGGGAGGGGGTTGAACTTGATCGCAGAGTGACAGCGGCCAGGAGGATTACAAAAGGAGATCACCAGGGGTCACCACAGCTATCTAGAGAAAGGCACTGAACCCCTGCTTATAGCTCTTGACCTCTCTGTGTCCCTTCGGAAATGTACCGTGGGCTTTAGGAAATCACACACCCGTGCAATGTTCTCAGAACTCTGCCTACAGTTTCATAAGTGTTCAATTCTACACCAAGACCCTTAAGGGCACCAGCAGTTTTGTTATCAATAGGCTCTATCATTTAAATTTTTTTTTTAGATTTTATTTATTTATTTGACAGTGAGAGAAAGATAGAGCGAGCAAAAGCAGGGGAACCACAGAGGGAGAAGGAGAAGTAGGCTCCCCTCTGAGCAGAGAGCCGGATGCAGGGCTCTATCTCAGGATCCTGGGACCATGACCTGAGCTGAAGGCAGACACCCAGTGACTGAGCCACCCAGGTGCCCCTCTCACATTTAAATTTTAAATCTCAGTTACACTTCCCTTCGAGCTGCTAACTGGCTGGAACTTTGCATCTTCCAGTGGCCCTCTTGGGAGGACTTCTTGCTCTCAAGATGGCCCTTCTGACTCCAAAATGCCCCAAGTCCAGCTGTCACTGACCTCTGAGAGTAAGACAGAGCCTGGCAGACTGTCATACCCCATCACCCTGGGTCCAGCCCCCATTCTAAATGCCAGGACCCCCAGCAGCAACCCATGGACTGTCAGGCCCCTTCCTCAGCCCCACGCTCTGCACTCAGATGGTTTTGTCATCCTGTGCAGACAGGGGACTGTCTTGGGCACTCTCCAGTCCCTGGACCCAGCCAAAGCCCAAGCCAAGGAGAGGCAGCAAGGGGGCACCTGTGAGAACCTAAATTACTAAGCCACGAGCCAGGATGAGCTGGAGGGGCAGAGTGTGGAGTTCACAAACCCTGGGAGCCTGGGGGGACAACTTCCACCTCACCACTTCGTATCTCTGTGATCCTGGGCAGGTCACAAGCCTCTCTGTACCTTCACGTCCTCCTCTGTAAAATGAGGATAACACACTGCCTCCCTCCAAAGATTGTGGATGGACTAAACGAGTGGCAGATACAGAGCCCAGAAAACAGCATCTGGTACAAAGATGCTCTCTTGAGTGTCGGGGACCATCGACATCTCCCCACGCAAAGCTGGTAAGGGAGCACATGTCCCTACCATCAAGGAACTGGAACCCACAGTTTTACCACCTCACAGGTCTTCATAACTGTTCATCCACAGGGACACTTGTCACGGGTTGAATGGTGTCCCCCAGAATTCCCAAGTTAAAGTCTTAACCTCTAGAATCTCAGAATGTGACCTGATTTGGAAATGGGGTCTTTATGGATTCAATTAGTTACGATGAGGCCCATTTGTGTGACCAGTGTCCTTATGAAAAGGGGACACTGGGCACAGAGATAGACGTGCAGACAGGGAAGACGCTGGGAAGACACAGAGAGAGGACGGCATCCACCAGCCCAGGAGAGGGGCTGGAACAGACCCTCCCTCACAGCCTCAGAGAGAACCAACCCTCCAGACACCTTGACTTTGGACTTCAGGTTCTAGCACTGCTGTTCAAACTACTCGGTTCCTGGTCCTCCATCACGGCAGCCCCAATAAATGACAATTTCCATCTATACACCATTTATTTTCCGGAATTACAATAAGGTACCAATATGAAATGGACACTGGTCTCCTTTTATCTGATGGGTGGAATGGAGGAAGAGTGAACAGATCACACAGGAGAGAGACAACAAGAGCATAAAGTAATAATTTTTTTTAAATGGCCACAGGGAAACTCATTATTAAAATGATCTACGCAGAGAGACACCATAGAACATTTAAAATTCTAGTTAATTTGAAATAGATTTATCTTATCCAAAAAAAATTTGATTTTTGTTGTTGTTGTTGTTAGTTTGTTTAATGAGTAGTCTTCTTTCGGTAAGGTTGTTTACTGATTTTTTTCCTTAAACGTAAATCGACCTGGTAGAGATAAGCACAATCTTGATCTCTTGGGAGTGATCTCTTGGGAGGGGGCTGAGTTAACTCTCTCTTCTCAGGGAGGCAGGCTGGTGCAGGAGAAACAAAGTACTTTGAACCCCCATCAAATCTGGATCAAGTTCTAGTTCTGCTCCCTACTAGCTGTGTGACAACAGATCGATGCACTACCTCTCTGGGCTTCCATTTCCTTATATGTGGGGTGGGATACCAATAGGGCCCAATTAAAGAAATAATGCCTTCGAGAACTCCCAGGACGGTGCTGAGCACAGGGCAGGAATATCTTAAACATAAGTTTTTACTCTTCTGTCAGTCAAATGAATAAATAAATGTCCAGTCTGCCCTTCTTTGTGGATCTTAAGAAACTTGCCCAAAGTCACACAGCTAGTAAATAAGAGAACCAGAAGAGCACCCAACCCTGTGCGTTTTTCTGCTGCTAGCCCTGGGGACCTTTTGTGTACTGGTGTAGGACCAGGGCTACTACAACCCATCCTACCCAGACCCTGCCCTCAAGGAGCTCACAGTCTAATACAGGAGAAATGAAGATTCACGTATAGCACTGCAGGCAAGGAACCATCCCCACCTTTGGAGCTGTGTGGGAGACAGAAGAGGGTCATCACCTCTGGAAGGAAGGGAAGGATCAGGAAAGCTTTCCAGGCAGTTACATAATAGTGCACACCCAAAGCGGCTCATCCGGCTCAGGGCCTGGCACACAGCAGGGACTCATTAACTGCTGGATGGATGGAGAGACAGAAGGGAGCACATGATGAAGGGTAAAGGGTAGCTGACTGGCTCCCTGCAGAGCGGCTGCATGGAGAGATGGATGGGCAGGTGGTAGGGTGAATGAGATGGTGGAAGGTGGGAAGACAAGCGGATGGACACAAGTGGGTGGTCCGTGGGTGGACAGGTGGTTGGGTGGACGAGAAGGTAGACAGATGGCTGGAGGGGTGAGTGCGTTGGAGGATGGGTAGATGAGGTGTATGACTGACTAGCTCTGCCCTTAGGTGGGTAGGTAACTGATGGAACCAGGATGGATGGATAAGGTTGCTGGGGTTGGATGAGTGGATGGAGAGGAAGACTGGAAATGAAGGAGCTGGTGACTTAACACGTGGCTGTAGAATAAAGTTAGAGAAAAATCAAAAAATCACGCATGCCCCGGGTTGCGGCCACTTACCGGGCTGCAGTGGCCAGCAGCGGCGTCGCTGCGTGCGCTCTCCCCTGGGGCCTGGGCCCCCAGGGCCTCTCGCAGGCTCTGGTTTTGCTGCGCGAGGTCCTCCACCTGGCCCTGCAGGCCGATCTCCGACAGCTTGAGCTCATAGATGTAACAGCGCAGATCCTCCAGCTGCATGCGGAGCCGGCGCTCGGTGGCACGCTGCTCCCGAATCCGGCGCGCCGCCTCTTCCTGCTCGCGCTCCCTGCGCTCCGCCCGCGCCTGCAGAGCGCGCAGCTCCGCGGCTTTGCCGGGGTCATCCCGGGGGCCGGCCGGGCCGAGTCTGCCGGGGCTGCCTGGGGCCGGGACATCCAGCTCGGCCAGCAAGAGGCCAGACGCGCGACACAGGCGCCGCACATCCCGCTCCAGCCGCTGCACCTGCTCCCGCAGGCCGCGCTCCTGCTCGCGCACCAGGCCCAGCTGGAGCCGCTGGGTCCGCCGGCAGCGCTCCAGAGCCGCCGCCTGCCGCCCTAGCGCCTCGTCCTTGCGCCGCAGCCGCTCCCGCAGCCGCCGAGCTGCACGCTCCTTTTCCAGAACCTACAAGTTGGCGGTGGATGAGGGCGTCAGGAAGCCAGCCCAGGGGACACACTGTTTTTATTTTAAACTTCCATATTTTTGTGCATGGGGGTTTTTTTCGTGCATTAATTTCGCATTAAAATATTGCATCAAATATTTATTTCATTACTGAGATTTTACAGGGGAGGAGTATCTCCCTTACCTTACCCTCCTAGGAGCCCCCCACATCCGGAGTTCCCTGGGCTCTTGCAAGGAAATTGTGTGCTGGGCTGCCTGGGCATCAGCTGGGGCACACGGAGAAGGCTGCCCCCGTGGTTTCAGTACTGAACACATCCACACCACTTTGTAAAGAGCTGCCGCCTAGACCTGCCTGAGTTTCCCCACGTCCACCCAGGACCTCCCAGATCTCTCCATTTCCCTAACCCTAAACGGTTAATGCCTGGCCCTGCAAAGGTCAGCAGCCCTGGTTTCTGGCTGGTGAGATACAGCACACAGCTGTTCCTTATTGTGCATAGCCCCAAGCACCGGGCACTATTACTGTCCCCTCGGGGTGCTCAGAAGCAGCTAGCACAATCCCACTGTGCTACAAGTCACCATGGCTGGAATTTGAACTTCTGTGTATCTGACTCAAGGCTTTTTCCTCAAAGTCTGGACAATATATCTCTCTGTTCTTGGACCCAGCCCTCTCCCGGCTCTGGAGCTGTGAGCTGGACTGGAGTGACCCGGCCACGGTGAAAATGGGAGTCCTTGCCCATTTCTATGCAGGTGGTGCCGTGTCCTTTTTAAGCTCTGTCTCAGCCCCGAGTGCCTGCTGACCGCCGGCCACTGCTGTGGCCCAGGAGAGCTTGCAGAAGACACAGCACAGAGTGCAGTGGAAGAGGTAAGCCCAGGGATGGCCCGGCAGGCTCTGACAGCTGTTCTTGGGGGCCATGGGACAGATGAAGCTGGAGTCCCAATTCCCTGGCGGGAAAACTGCTCCCAGTTATCCTAGAATCAGCTCCATCACCCGACGGGTCTGCCTTTATTGGCTTTCAGAAGGTTGACAGGTCACTACAGAAACAAGGTCACTTTGCATATGCAAATGATTTCCTGGGACCACGACAACAAGAGGGCAAAACTGCCATTTGGCAAATATCTGGTACACAAAGCAGAAAAATCTCATCCGTGCGCTCCTGCAAAACTTTCTCTGAAATGCAGATACCATGGAGGAGCTGTAGCTGGGCCAAGCGGTCTCGAAGGGATGCTGAACAGGCACCCTGCCCCTCAGACCTTGTGCCCCTCATCTGGAACTGGGGTTGCCTGACAGGTCTTCCCAGGATAGTATTCATCACATGACACAGTAATAAGGACATGGATGCAGAAGAGACCACAATGTCGCACAGACCTGCGGGTCCCGGGGTGCCCCCGAGTCCCTCAACAGCACTGTCCCTGTTCGCACCCTCCTCCTCTGTCTCCCTGCCACACTGGGAGCACCCTGTGCCTCTGGGGCTGTGGCTGAGACCCCCTGGAAATCCTACATGGATTTAGGGCATGGCCCAACACATCTTTATTGAGGTATTTTCCACGGGGAGATGACATTCTTCACAGTGGGGTCTCTTACGACGCCACGACATTGCACTGGACGGCTCCTCTCAGGACACCAGTGAGGGCATGCTGGGGGAGCAGAGGACAAGTAACTATAATTTTCTGTACCCAGAGTTCAATGCAGAGGGGGAAATGCCATCCGCATGTCTCCCTGGCATCTGGAAGACGAATTTCAGTTTCAGTGAGTTCCTCATCTCTCCACCCTCCATGTCTGATTCCATTCACGCCCAAATCAGGGCTTCTCTGGCTGTTTGGACTGCCCCCACTCTGGGAAACACACTTTCAGCCCATGTCCCGTGACATGCACACGTGTGCCACAGAAACAGAAATTTCACAGAACAGCATTCCTTATACGCTAATGCCCTTTCTTATTTCCTAGTTGATCTCGTTTTTAAAATGCTCGTTGCAACAGGGAACTGGTCTGATGACCCACAAGCAGGCTTCCACCTGCAGCTGGACGGTCACTGCTGGGCTCTCCGGGATCGGGGGGTGGCGGCGGGGAGGCTTTGAGAGCCGCACACATCCGTCCTGGGAGCCTGTCATTTCTGCCTTTGCAGTGTTTCCCAAGTGTCCCCTACCTCCAGCCTTCATCACCCCTGGAATCTTGCAATAAAGGCTACTATTTATGAAAGCAGCTGGTGTTATTCACTTCAACTATTGTGTTTTACATGTACTAACTCACTCAGCCCACACAATAGCCCCAGACAGTTGGGACTATATCATTCCCATTTCACAGAGGAGGAAACTAAGACCCAGAGAGGTTAAATCACTCGCCGCAGGTCACACAGCCAGGGAGTGGCAGAGTCATGGTTTGGCACCAGTCACTGCTTGTCCAAAACACTAACTTGTCCCCGTGCCTCCATCTCTCTCTCTCTCCCATGCAATTAGAATAATTGCCCCAAAACCCTATCCTGAGCCTCTCCTGTCAAAGTCCCCTAAAGCCTGCTCCTCTTGCAATTAATATTTGGTCCACACCATGGCCCTTGCAACTTGGCCCTTCTGGATCCCTCCACTCTTGCCAGCGCCCTCTCTGTGCCCAGACCCTATGCTCTGGCTCCAGTATGTTCTCCCACGCTCCTGTGCCCTTGCACAGGCTGTCACCCACACCTCACACGCCCTTCCCACGAGGGCCAACTCAGTTGGCTCAGTTCTCTGTAGCTCCCCTCTACCCTCGACTCCATGCACACACCATGTGCCTGCACCTTTCCCCTGACACCTGGCATCCAATTTGGGAGGTCCTTGTCTCCTATCCATGTCCCCACCTGCATGCCAGCTCCCGAGAGCAGGGACCCTACATTAGTCATCAGCTTGCCCCTAGGCCAGAGCTGGCTTCCCTGGGACATGGAAATAAACTTCTGTGAGCACACGGCCCCTACAGGTCAACCAATGCTCTCACCAACCCACTCCCCCTGGCGGATCCCAGCCGGGACCCTGGGGAGGCAGACAAGGTGGGATGTGGATCCCATTGTACAGGTGGGGCAGCTGAGGCCCAGAGAGGCCCTGGGAACTTGCCCCTGCCTGCATTGTTGGAATGAGGTCCCCTCTAAACCCCCTGGCTAGGCTCTCACAGCATCCCACCCCACCCACCCCCACCCCAACGGCAGCCGCTGCCTCCTCTGAGCACATGGGGCCACCCTGCAGGGTCAAGAAACAAGTTCTGGAAAGAAGAGGGGACACGGTACCTGGCTGGCCACCTCCCGCCGCAGGGCTTGCAGCGTCTCCTGGGCTCGCACAGTGGCGCTCCTTTCCTGTGTCACACGGGCACCCAGCAGCTCCACCGTCCGGAGAAGGTGTCTTTCGGAGAGCTCCAGCTCCTGGATCCTGCAGCATTGAGGCAAGAAGATGCTTAATCAGGAGGCAGTAAACATGGCCCAATATTCTCACCAACACTGAGGCCAACCATCTTTTTTTTTTTCTGGTCATTGGCCAATTTGAAATTCTGACAAAATCACATTTCGTGAAACATTCATACACATGTAAGATGATCTAGACTACGTCAGAAGTATCTACGGAATAGTAATGCACCCTGCCTCAGGAATCTTAAGACTCTTCTTCCTAAGCCAGTAATCCCGAGTTCAGGCGATACCAACAAAGAACAGAGCCAGGGACCCGTGGCCTGAGAGCTTTGTTTGTGTTGTTTCAATCAACCCTCACATTACCAGCCTGCAGGTGAGTTCCCCTACCGCTCCTTCACACGCCAGAAAACTCGGGATCCGAGAGGCCAGGCAACTCGCCCGAGGTCACACAGCATCCTAGAGGCCAGACTGACTCCCAAACTCCTACTTCTAACCCTACGCTCTACTGCCCGTGTGTTGCTTTAAGCCACCGAGTTTCAGTATTGTATTTTCGAAGCCCTTGGGCACCGATATGCTCAGAATAGGAAATGGACGATGGAGTACCATTTTTCAGATTAAGGACCAGTTAAATATTTCTACTCAGTGCTGCATAGAACAAGGAAGCAGGGAGACCTCCCCAAGGCAGGAGAAGAAATGGTGTGGCTGCCGTTACACCCTGGGCAGGCCGCCTGGGTTCAAGTCCCAGTCCCCCGCCATGTGACTGGACATGTGGGTGACCATGGAGAGGTCACTGGACTGTCCTACGCCTTCATTTCCCCACCTGTAAGTTGAGGATAATACTATCACCCAATCTGGGGTATTGCTTTAAGGATTAAATACGTGAATATGTAAACACCATAAAATACATCACTAGTTTTTGATGCCGTGTTCCAAGATTCATTGTTTATGCACCACACCCAGTGCTCCACGCAATACATGCCCTCCTTAATACCCACCACCAGGCTCACTCATCCCCCCACCCCTTGTCTCTAAAACATGTGAACAAACATGTAAACTGTGCCTGGAACCGAGTGAACACTCAAGGAGGGCAGAGATACTGATAGTCTTGCGGCATTTACAGCATGTATGTTGGAGAGGAATACGCATGATTGACAAGGTAGTTAAGACAGGACTGGGTTTTCTTTCTCAAATTTCTAACTACTTTCTTTGTTCTTTTTATCACAAATACTTAAAGAATTTTCTTTCCTTATTTCAGCGGGGGAGGAGCATAGGGAGAGAGAAATTCAAGCAGACCCTGTGCTTAGCATAGAGCCCCGTGTGGGGCTCGATCTCACAACCCCGAGATCACAACCCGAGCTGACACCGAGAGTCAGGTGCTTAACTGACTGAGCCACCCAGGAACCCCATAATAAATAGTTTAGAATTTTAACTCTTTCATCAGAATGAAGCCCAGTGTACACTACCAACCTTTACTGTACCCTGGCAAGATGATACCCACGGTCAAATTAACCCACTGTGCATTCAGATCCTGGCTTCCGCTCTTAGTGACCCTGGATAATGTAGTCTGTCCTCCCTGCCCCAGCTCCACTCATGCAGGATGGGGTGGCCCACCTTCTGAGAACAGAGGACACAGCCCACATTTCCCCACAGGTAGGTCCAAGATGACCCCTCCCAAGTGGCCTCACCCCGGGCCCCAGTCCCAGAGGCCCCCTCCCCTCCATCACCTTCTCTCCCACCACTCTCCTTGAATGGAGGGGTCTCCTTTGGTAGGGGTTTCCCATCATTTTCCCTGGGCCTGACGACTTTCTGGTTTTCACTGCTATCTTTCTGGAGAAAGATTTGAATCCACAACCATGTGGGGTTACACCGCAGCTCTTTCTGGGGCTGGGAGGGCCCTACCTTCCCTGGGTCTCAACCCCAGGGCTGACGTGTGTCCCCTCAAATTCATATGCTGAAATCTTGCCCTCCAGCCCCTCAGAACATGACTGTATTTGGAGACAGAGACTTTACAAAGGTAGCAGAGTTGCCATGATGTCATCTGGGTGGACCCTGATCCAATCCGACTAGAGTCCTTACAAGAAGAGGGGATTAGAACATGGACACGCATAGAGGGATGGACACGTGAGGACACAGGGAGAAGGCGACCATCTACACACCAAGGAGAGAGGCCTCAGAAGGAACCTGCCTGCTCCGTGAACTTGTGACTTCTAGCCTCCAGGACTGTGAGACAGTACAGTTCCGTGAAGTCTCCCAGTCTGTGGTTCTCCGTTAGAGCAGCCTCAGCAAACTAACATAACTCAGCATGTAATTCTGGGGTGGGCCGGTGCAGGCGGCAGAATGATTGAGTGATCAATGAATGAATGAAGGAATGGAGGGATGGCTGGACAACCTCATCAAGTAACAAAACTACTTTCTTGCTATGTGAATTCCTACCTGTAAAAAGTCTTACGAAGAGGAAAAAAGATAAAAAGCACATGTAAATATACATTTAACAGCTTGCCTTTATTAAAATGAAGGAAAATACAAGAAAATGGTGAAGTCCCAGATAAATCCAAGATGCTTGGCTGCTGGGATCATGGTAAGCCTGTCAGGGTGGATCCCAGGTGTGACCATCCTGCATCTCCGTGTGGGATTTCCCCCGACATGCACACAGGACCCCACCTCACTCTGCCAGGCTCTGTACCGGATAACGGTCAGGAAACAGCACAGGCTAAGAGGAGGACCTGGGCTCGCATCCCAACTTCTGGACCCTGTCACTTCCACCAGGAGAACAGAACCGAGGCCAGGAAAGTCAACAGTGAGAAACAAGCGCAGAGAGTCTGTCATAAAGATGACGGAATTGCTAAAAGGCCAGACATAGAGGACTGGCGACCCAGAGATGAGCCCCTGCCAGGTGCCCCTTTGCCCCTGCAGATTCTGGGCTTAGGAGCTGATACTGGGTCTAGGAGCCAGCCACCAAGCAGGGGAGGACCAGAGAGGATACCCAAAGCATGGCTGGGACACTGAGGACTGTCACTCCGAGCAGGAGAGGGCAAAGTACCCTGGCCTCTCCCTTCCTCCTCCACTCCTCCCTCCCATTGGCTGGGCCCCCATGGAAGCCAGAGTGCGGAAGGCTGGGACATGGTGCAGGCTCAGTCCCTGACGTGCAGAGCAGAGGACGGAACAGAGGAGGAAACAGAGGGGAGGCTGCCCCAGGCATCACATCCTCAGCTGCAGACACAAGTCAACATACCATCTAACCCCATTAAGATGCCCAGGAGTCGATCGTTCAATACACCAAGATCCAAACGTCTTATTTACCTGCTCCTTAGCTCGGACTCAGACATCATGTACTGGTCCACAGCGGCCAACAGCTTCTCCTCAGAGGATTCCAGCTGCTTCCTGAGTGTGCCTGGGTCCACATCGGGGCTTCCAGCAGCTTCGTCCGCAGGACAGCCCCGCTCTTCACCACTGTCCTCCGCATCCTGAAATACCCAGCATGTGTCGATCTTCACATCCACATTCATTACATCAAAACCATCGCTGCTGGGTGCCCTGACCACATAGCTGAAACTCTTCTCCGTCCGTCCTGTAGCTGTGGGCTCCATCCCGGACAAAGGTCACGGGTCACGGCTTCGTAACAGTGAGTAGATTTGCAGCACTGACTTTCTGGAGATTTCCAGATGCCTGCAGGGCCTTCAGATTGCGCAGAATACCCTTTGAGGAGGGCAAGAACAGGTGAATTATTCACGAGTGGGCCTTGGGTTTCACTCACACGCATCATACGATATGAATGAAGTCCTCTCGGTTTACAAGCTGGCAGGCCGGAACGCACCCAAAGCAAGAAAACATCACAGAAAAGTCACTTGGAATTAAGTGTTTAACCATGGGGCGCCTGGGTGGCTCAGTGGGTTAAAGCCTCTGCCTTCGGCTCAGATCATGATCCCAGGGTCCTGGGATCTGGCTCCACATCAGGCTCTCTGCTCAGCGGGGAGCCCGCTTCCCCCTCTCTCTCTGCCTATTTGTGATCTATCTCTCAAATAAATAAATAAAATCTTAAAAAAATAAATGTTTAACCATGCGCACAGAGAGGTAAACTGAAATTTCCAGGCAGGACCATCAGAAATACAAACTCTCAGTGGTGCAGCTCAAGTCCGACCCTCAAGCTCTATGCCTCCTCTCTGAGGACAGGAAACATTGATCAGGGACCTAGAGCTAGTGCTGCACTTCGCGTGTCACCTGAGATCTTGGTCACGTCACCCTAGCTGGTCCGACTGTGCCGCTAACCCTAGGAGGTGGGCATTATCATACCCATTCTGTAGATGGTGAAACAGAGGCTCCAGAAAGTGGAGGGCCTTGTCCAGGCCTCATCTAGGAGAAATGCTAGAGTCAGGATTCAAACCCGGGTCTGAATCCAAAACTTGGGAGGTGAGAAATGAACACGCCACGAGCCCGGCAGGAACAAACATGTCCTGCAGGAGGGAGCTGGGGGCTGGAGGCACTTGGGATGGTGGATCACAACTGGAAGAGGTGGGCACAGGATTCTACCAGGCAGAGGCAGCCTGGGTGTCCCAGCCCCATGGCAGCATCAGGACAGATGAAGGGAGTGGCCAGCCCTGTGGATGCTCAGAGGGGAAATGAGGAAGGACAGAAGGTGGCTTGGGGCCATGTCCATGTGGGCCTTGAGCTCAAGGGCAAAGACTTTGCCGCCTCTCTGGAGGGAGTGGGGGGGTTGGTGTATGGGAGTGTTTAGAGGCTGGGAGGGCCTGCTCAGATGTTGCTTTGAGGATGGAGGTCTCTGGGACATGCAGGAGGTGACAAGAGACTTTTTCCAGCTTTCTGACCCAGGGATTTCTCTCTGAAGGGCCTGGGGACCATCTCTTTGGAAGGCAAACATTCAAGGAAATTAGAACCCCATCTCCCAGGTCCTGTGGGAGGCGAGGGGCTGGACTCCAAGGGTGCCTGCCTCCATACCCTACAGCCACCCTGGCATAAAGATGAGAAAATTTCATTCTCCTTTGTATAAAAAAAAAAAGATGAAAATTGAGAAGAAGATTAAACCTTAAGAGATGCTGTTAACTCTAGGGAACAAACTGAGGGTTGCTGGGGGATGGGGTAACCGGGTGTCGGGCATCAAGGGTGGCACGTGATGTGGTGAGCACTGGGTGAGTATGTGATGCAACTGATGAGTCACTGAACTCTGTCTCTGAAAACAAAAGCAAAAACAAACCAACTCAACAAACACAGAGGGCCACCCCGATGGCAAGGTGGATTTAGGGTGACCAGTGGGTAAAAGATGGCACTGTCAAGTCCTCTTATTGGAGAACTGATCGCTATTATCCTGAGGACACGTGCAGGATGGATTGTAGTGGCTTGGCTAGTAAAGGGGTGAGATTTCTTTCTGTCTTTGCAAATCTCTGAGCAAAGCTCTTGGAATGTGCATCACACTATATTTGCTGTTCCTTTAAGAATAAACGTGCTTTCTTTCTTGTCTACCTCCATGGAGAGGTTTTCTGGGTTGGGAGGAGATTTTGTTTTTAAGTGTACTTCCCCATCAGTGACCAGTGTTCTAGGGTGACCCACAGGGCTTGTGACAGACACAGACTGGCCCAAGGTGATGGGTTGGGGTGTCAGCTGAGAGGGGATATAGTTAGGCATCTGGACCACACTGTCTGGGGCTGAATCTCATCTCCAGTCTCAGATGGGATCCTGGGAAAATTACTTAATTGCTGGGCATAGTCGGGGGGGGGGGGCATAGTATGGGATCTGCAGAAGCCCCGCAAGAGCTCTTAGACAACCTCAGGGAGGAGCACCCCAAACTGGTAGACCTCTAGCAGGTTCTGGCTGAATGTGAGAAAACAGGCAAAAACAAACATGTCATTGTACTGGGACCATCGGGCAAGATTCCACGGGTCACAAACTGGCTATGGAAAGTGCTGGAAAAGCAAGAGACCCAGACTGGGAGACTTTCAGCCTACAGGCTGGAAGGACAGGGAAGAAAGGGGGAAGGTGTGGTCAGTGGGAGGAAAGCTAATGAATTTGCTCAGATACATGTTGAGCTCACGCTAAAGCACTGTGTTCATCTCTCCAAGGCTACCAGGGAACCATAACAAGGTGCCCCATGCACCTATGGGCTCCCCCCCATAGGGCCGCAAACTGTGCTGGGAGCAGTCAGGAAATCCCATGCCTTTTGGATGAGCTAACACCAGAAGCATCAGTGTAGCACACACGCCCCACCTTTTGCATTTCACAGAAGTCCCACTCACGACATGCCAGAGAGGGCAATTATATCCGTGAGCATCGGGTGCCAAGATGAAGGAGGGCCAGCAGCCATGTCCTTGTGCCATATGTGGACCCACTCGTCCCGGCTTGACAGGGACTTACCCCACTTTCAAACTAGAAGTCCCACATCCCAAATGAGGATGGCCTGTCAGCCTGGCTGGTCTCCTGGCCCACAGCACTACCAGAACGGTATGGGGGGAGGGACACAGGGGTGAGCACTGGACTTCCCTGCCTAGCTATGCACGGGTTGCCACTCGTCACAGAGGAGGCGGGAATGAGGGGGATGGGCTGCACCACATACCAGGAACTTGACAAGACTCTCCCTACAGCCTCCCCAGCAGATCTGTGAGGAGGGTGGTGGGAAAGTGTGTACAAGACACTGACCCAGGGTTTGCCTGACCTTGTAGTTCTTCTGTCCCAGGAACCACACCCATGGGGGACTTTGTGCTACGAGACAGCCATGAGAGGTGTACACCACCCTCCCGCCCCAGGAATGGAGGGCTGTGAAGTAGTCCTGGTACAGGTCTGCTGGGCCACCAGAGCTCTGAGGTCCCATGACTACAATGCCTCTTGGAACTGTCCTGTCCCTGACAGGAACTTTGGAAGCAGTGCCCAGGACAGTCACAAGAAACACTGACTCCTATTGGGGACTTGTGGTTTCAAAGCCAGGGCCGCCCTCATACCTGCTTGTGTGTCTCACTCCCTTGCACCTGCGCTGTCTCAGAGAATGGGTCCTGGTCCCCCAGGGACTGGATGGTCTCCTTTGTGGACGAGTCCCATTGAGGGAGCCATGGATACTGCCTGTCACATGTTCTGCCAGGATCCGGGAGTCCTATGGGTCTTCCCAGTTATGCCTCACGGAGACAAGAGGCAAGGCACTGCATGGGAACCATCACCCCCATCCCCATCTTCTGAGAAAAAGTTATGACTCAGAGCAGCAAGTACTTTGCCTGCGTCTGCTGTGGGAAAAGGGCCAGGCTGGGAGTGGACCCAGATGGGTCTGACTTCAAAGCCAACAGCATTCCTGTCCTGTTGTCTGAGGAGGAGAGCTGAGCAGACAGAAAGATGGGGACGGGAGGGCATGAGGACCACACTCCTGGACACTCTTGCAACAGGAAGGAGACAGACACTCGGTGCCACAGAAAATCTTCCGAGACCCGTGTGCAGCTCCTGGACTTCTATCTACTAAGTTAGCAAAGCAAGGGCTCTTGGTGCTGCCTGGAGCCCAGCGGAAGCAGACGGGTGTTCCTTTGCACTCACTGCCTGGGTCCACACTCCCTTTGTTACCCAGGATGCACAGTTATCTGTCTTCAAGCAAAGACATCGGTTCATTCATATTTGGATACCAAATACTGGTAAGTCGTGGGGGCTGGTGTGGCAGGTGCTTTGGGTTTAGATTTCAACAGAGAATGGTCACTTCTCAGCTGTCCTGGTGTGTGTTTGCTTAGAGCCCCTCCCCCCCAACTCTTTGATTTGGTTTGGACATTCTGCCCCATCTGGTGGGGGCACATCTTCTGTGCCCACTGCCACCTCCTTCTCCATCCTTGGTTTGCCCTTCTGAGAACTTCCAGCATCTCTGCTGGGCTCCCATCTCAGCGGGGCTCCTCAGCGGCCTCAATCTCAGTCACTCGGTTTTCTCCAAAGGTTCTTCTTCCTAGAAATCCCGGGGTTGCTCTCGCAGCCGGTCCTTGGGATCAGCCCGTCCCTGCTGGTTCTCCTAGGGCGCTTGTCCTCTCCTTCGCACCTTCTATTTCCCTTCACCCCTCCTAATTTCACATGTCTCCTTCCAGAAGTTTAGGAGAGAACAGCAGCGTGAGCAAGGGTTTCTCTGGGAGATGCTCGCCCACCTAACCCACCCGCCCTAAAATAACAGCAGCAGCAACACCCCCAAGCCACTTCCCTTCCCAGGGGCTCGCTCTGGGGCCAACTCTCGCCAGCTCCTGCCTGTCCTCCCTGCTGCCCCACTCCGTCTCTTAGGAGGTTCCATTCCGAGGCCAGGCTCCTGAGATCAGGGAAGGCTCCCTCCTTCACGACGGTGAGATCGTGGCCCTGGTGTCAGAGGGAGGCTTGTTCCCCACGGATGCTCCATGCTACACTCCATCTTCTAGCATTTTCCCTCGACAGTGCCTTGCAAACTACAACCTAGATGAAAGGCCACCTGAGAACGGTGTGGTCTGTGTCCACCTTCTCATTCCTCATTCCATGTGGCCCCAGGGACAGTCATGCTCTGGGACTGTCACCGTGTCACACCCACAAAGGTGATGGAGCCTGTGGCTTCTTTCTTGGAAATCTGAGGTCCTCGGATCTGCCCTCCACAGTGGGTGAC